ATTACTAACAATTAGTTTTGCAAGCTTATTTCGCATATCATTATTCAACCTTTTTTCTTTTTGGTATGAACTTAGCACCAATAAGCCTTCTTCAGATTTTTTTAACACAGCTTCAAGATTCTGCAATAATAAACACAATAATAAGAAACATAACAAATTTAAATATTTTTATTTTAATATATTTTCTTACATATTCATCATCAGTCAGATGTCGTTTCACCCCTAATTGATTTTCTTTATTTTCAAGTAATACATCTAGTCAGAAAGTTATTATTTATAATAATAGTTAATATTAAACATATATATAATTAGATTAAGATTAACATAAGAATGTTCTGTTCTCACCATTAGCTTCAAGATCCTGCAATAATAAACACAATAATAAGAAACATAACAAATTTAAATATTTTTATTTTAATATATATTATTCTTCTTACATATTCATCATCAGCCAGATGTCGTTTCACCCCTGATTGATTTCCTTTATTTTCAAATAATACATCTAGTCAGAACAGTTATTATTTATAATAATAGTTAATATTAAATATATATATAATTAGATTAAGATTAACATAAGAATGTTCTGTTCTCACCATTAAGTTCACTAGTAGCGACAGAGACATTGTCCGAAATACTCTGCTGAGTTTCAGGCAATGATTGTAGGTAGTATATAATATCTTGATTGTGTATATTGCTCTCTATATTTTTCTGCTTTATAAGATTTTCTACTTGTTCTTGTTGTGCAGCTAGTGACTGTTGTTCATGATTAATTGTATTAGAATTTTCTTCCGGATGTAACTGTTGAATCTTGGCAAACATTTATATCAATATATTAATGTTATTTATATGGTAAGGTAGATTGCCTTTACTCGACAAAGTAATGTGAAGAAAAGTAGAATGTTAAATGAATACCTCTCTTTCATTTTAGATATTGTTTCACAATACTTTGAAATTTTCTTCGCGGTCCTATGTTTGGGATTAAACTCTTAAGATCTTCTTCCGTTAAAATATTTAATTGATCTGCTTCAATTTCTTGAGCTAAAATTAAAGCAAGTAGAAGATAAAAAAACATGATATATTAGAGTTAAATATTAGACAGCGCAATATGTATCAATAAAACTATAAATTTTCTTAATCACTCGCTAAACGATAAGACTAACCATCCCAAGTAGCAAGGGTACATCATTTGACATCATAATAACGTCATAAGGACTTTACTACCTGGGAAAGAAAATGGACGTAGGAATATCTGAACCGAGCATATTTCCGCAGGGTCGAAGCTTGAGGGAAAAGAAGGGATATGATTAATCAAGATGACGATGACGATTAATTATACAAAATAACGATATGGTTACGTATTCCGTATTCATGTACGAAATACATTACCTTAAATCCCAACGATGGCTCGGTTAAAACCATGTCAATGGGACGTGAAAATAGATATATCGTGTGTTATATGTACGCAAAATCTCATCAATCAAGATGGTTGCAATGGATTTTCCCTTCATTCCTCAGATTTCACTCCCCTCGTCCAAACGAGTCCAAGTTATACGTTACTCTTACCATTTTTATCAAAAATAAATTGACTTACTTACCTGTAAAGTTCGCTATTATTTCAGGAGAAAATCCCCATTTCGTTAATAAATTATACGTACTACACGCACTTGTGCTCGACATGGTCTCAAAAACAAGCTTCGAAAGACAAGGACAAAACGTTATACCTTCGATGTAGCACGTAGCACGTAGCACTGCGTATCACCGCTGCGCCACTATCGCGCCGTCGATGTTCTTTTTAAAAAGCGCGTATTTTCAATCGATTGATATATCGGCTTATCTTGTGCGCCTAAGACATTCCGATATTCATTGCCAGTTCAAAAGTCGATGGCACACGTAACGGTGAAATGTATCATTGTAGCAATACTTATATGCCTTTGCTAAGTAAGATATATCAGATAGCTAGGACAGCAAACCTTTTTTGTATAGTAGCAAATTTGATAGTAAACATAGTTTCAGCAAATATGGTTTGCTATGGCAAAGACAATTTTCTTTTCCATACATGTATCAGGTAGCTGAGACAGTTAACTTTATGTTGCTAAATAAAATGACTGTAACAGACATGCGATCATCTACAAATTTTGCTACTATGCTGACGTATTAGCAACAGCAGCAAATATTTGTTATATAGTAGCGATTTTGGTTGTTACAGCAGCAAATACAGTTTTAGCAAACCATGATTAGTTGTGGCAGCAGCAATTTTTTTTTCCGTGTGAGTATCGTCAGATCAGCTGCGAATTATCGTGATTGCGTTTCCGAAATTTCATGTAGTTACCGAAATTTGTTCTTGTTACCGATTTATTGGGCGAATTGCCTTACTGCCGCCGTATTAAACTATCTCCGCCGTATCGGCTCAGGCCGAACCGTCTACTCATCTTTAACTCTTGTTAACCAAATTGTTGAAATATATTATTGTTAAATCTTAATTGCTGAGTTGTCCTTGTGTTCGCCTCTCACTCCAGATTTTTAACGTCAAATAAAAGAACTGCGCCCCTCTGCCATATACTGAGCGGGGAGCGGCCGGACATATTAAAGAATTTTTGAAGTTACCGATACCGCGGTGCGATTACACGCACCTGGCGTCCATTTTCGGCTACCGATTTCGCGAGTTACCTTGCTCCCGACGTGCGTGGAGTACCGCGAGTTACCGAATCGTGCAGTTATTGCCGATACCGCGCGAGTTACCTAGCTCCCGAATTACGCGAAGTACCGCGAGTTATCAAATCGAGCATTATTGGCCGATACCGCGAGTTACCGCCGATACCGCGTAAGTTACCTGGCTCCCGAAGAACGTGGAGTACCGCGGGCTATTGACTTTCATTGGGCGTGCTCCCTCGGATCTGGCGTGATTCCGAGGCTAGCTCACGTCGCAATTTATATTGTTCAATTATAATAAAATAAATTACAATTAACAAATGTTTAAAGTGTGTAAGTAGTAATATAATATTATTGAACATTTAATTGCAAATAATGCATTACGGAATGCTTGAATGTTTGAATTAAAAAACAGGTCTTCAAACGATCTTTTTATTTTTATACATATTACTTTGCTATCATCTTTACAGGTTGCGTGATCAATTTCTAAACAAAATTTATAAACTTTGTTGTATGTCGAAAGATCACAACGCTATAATTATAGGTTAATTAGACAATAACAATAATAAACATTTAGAAGGCCATTAATCGAGGCCACTTCTCGAGAATCATGTGACAAAAGTTATTTAATTATTAAACAATTAGGCGCTGACGCGAGCACTCGTTCTTAGAAGCCCGAGTGTCACTTGCGCCTAAAGTAGGTTAAACAGATCAGCATTTTGATAATACAATGGATCGATATAGTTCAAGTCTCATTGTGTTCCGAATACTGATCCGTATAAATAAAGGCGGCACACAAGGCGCCGCGAGTTTTTGATCAGCAAAGTTTCGGACGAAACACGACACGTCGCGTACACGCGTAACCGCAGTAGTATGGTCGCCGAGTGAGTGAGGTGGCAAGTGTAATAACAAGATACCGAATAAAAGTTATTCTATCTATTCAAAAGTACATAATTCTTCTAAACTCTCCGAGCCAAAGCTCCCTTGACCAGCACGGCGAATCCCGAATCTTTACGCAGCGCCTACCGCTACCAAAGTAGGCGCAACAATTTGAATAAGTCTGCGTCTTATATTATCAATATCTTTTTAATTATTAAATAAAAATCAGATGTTCATTAAATGCAATAATAAATTAAATATACATAATTTCGAGTTTTGTCATTATACATACATATTACTCAATTATTCAAGATAATGTATTTTTATCTTCAAGAATCAAATAATATGACGTTAAATGTAATGTTGTATATTTGAAAAAGAAATTTACGCATTGTAGGAAAAATATATAAAATATGGTGTACGACATAATAAATTAAAGTCTACAATTTTTTTATGCCTGTATTATACTTATTATATTGTCCCAAATATATTGTCCCAATTAGCTTTACTACATATAGTAACAGCATATACTTTTGAAATGCTTTTGTAAAACGGAAATGACTAATAAATATTCGTGGTTTTAAACAATTCTACAATTCTAACAGAATGACTTGGCTACCGTAAACTTAATTTAAATATTAATTTGCACATTACTTACATAAATAGTAGGAAATGGCAAAACAAGTGACAGTATCATTCGAGTTTTTCATGTGATAATTATAGCCTTAGCACTCAGTTAAAAAAATAATTGAAAAATATTGATCGCAAAACAAAATATACTTCTACACAATGGGGTGGCAAGATACTTATAATTATTACATAGTAGAATTATCGGGTAAGTATGAACAATTAGGGTGCCGTTACATACAGCCCGTAATCCGTAATCTGCACCGGAAGTCCGCAAAAGTTACTAGGTATTTCGTCTGTAACGTTACGTGTGTTTTTATCTCCTTGTGTCCCATGGAGCCGTAATTCCATAAAATTTCCGTAAAAGTTACTACAAGTTACTAGTTATTACTAGTAATGCTTTTTCTGATTTTATTTATTTAACTAAATTTGACGATTTAATTAAAACTTTTGTTAAAATCATAATATATTCTGTAGTTTTCTTATGAATAAAATACAAATAAACAATTATAATCTGTTAAATAAAAAAATAGTACTACCGTTACGTCTGTATTTACGGCTCCATGGGACACAAGGAGAAAAAACATACGTAACGTTACGGACGCAATCCCTAGTAACTTTTGCGGACTTCCGGTGCGGATTACGGATTACGGGTTCTATGTGACGCCAGCCTAACTGCATACATGCGCAAGCCATACATGTGAGCTCCGCGCTATTTTTTGTATCTCATAGAAAATCATATGCATGAAATAAGATAAAATTAATAGATTCTCGTTTAATATATAAACGCCAAGTCTAAGGGCGGTATTCATAGTCCGTTCTTATATTCAAGATCGTCTTAAGCACGAACTTATATTCGCTCTCTTCGTCAGACACAATCTATGTGTGACGAAGAGAGCGAATATAAGTCCGTGCTTAAGACAATCTTAAATATAAGAACGGACTATGAATACCGGCCTTAAGAGGCAAGCAACATGAGGGAGGGAACACCGCACACCTGCGCAAGCCACGTAGATGTGAATTCCTCTTAAAAAAGCATCTCCAGGATGTCTTAAAGACGTCTTAAAAAGACATCCTAAAAACGTCCTAAAAAGATAT